ATGTAGAGATATTTTTTTCTCATCACTACTTTCGGCAATAGACATAGTTTCTTTATCCCATTTTGGGAAAATTTCTAAACAAGTATCTCTAAAAGTACAACATAATAAATTTTTCACCTGTTTGTCTGAAAGCTTGGGGGTAATAGCATCTAATATTTCTATTGGCAAATCAAAATCTATAATAGGCCAGAGTGGCTCATCATCATTAATATATTCATGTAAGAAATGACCTTCACGATCTGAGAGTATGGCTTCTATTTCATTCTCGTTGTCTGCACCAAGGAAATGTCTTAGTTTAACACTATCATCACGAATTTTATATAGAGATGCACCTATATCAGAAGCTTTAAAACCTTGTTTATACGGGGCAGGGGCATTGAGGAACTCCAATTGGGTCATTTTTGTCTCAAGCAATTTAAAATAATTTATAGTTATGCCAAAACTCAAGGTATATTATTCATAAGAAAAAAGTTTAAAATGAAATTAATTCCCTGACATTATTAATTGATACATATAAATAGAAGGCAGAAAAAAAGGTGACACCCTAGTATTATATAATTGTCCATATATTCTTAGGACTGGAAAAGTGTGCAATCAGAGATGCTATCATCCAAAGGGATGTAAAGTCCACTGAAACTCTAGGCAGGTTTTTTGCAAAGAATGCAGTGAGCCGACAAGATCCAAATATGATTATTGTGATATACATGCAAAAAAACATAGATCAAAGGAACACTACCATCAGAAAAAGCTGGCTGACTTAGCTTCGATACAGGGACTGGTGGGCAATTAAGTATAGATAGAAGCGATGTAAAATAATACAACTTTATCACTAGTTGTCCTAAAAAATCTGTCACAGTTTCTGTCCCAGTTGTCAAAGTTTTCTAGGACGGATGCAATATAGCTAGATGGTAATATTAAGATGAATGAAAGGGAAAGAAATAGTCTATTCTAGTTGTCCTAGTTGTCCTAGTAAAATTCAGACTTTACTTTTTTATTTTTTTTTTACCTATAGATATATCAGTATATAGCATATATATATAGTATACATATATTATACATATATCATAGGATGGATTACGATTTTTTTTTAGAATTTTTATTTTTACTAGAACAACTAGGACAACTAGGACGTAATATAAAAGAACAAGTTAAATTAAAGAAAGAAGCTCTTTTCCCATAACAAAATCTGTCCCAGTTTCCGTTCCAGTTTATTAATATGCCTCCATTTACTAGAACGGATTTTCTCGAATTTATAACAGAATATTTTTGCAAGTAATTAACCAATTCATCTCAAGTTCAGCATATATATCTTCCAATAATATACACATAACGTATCATTTGACACAGAGCCTTCTGGGAGCACTATCAGATGACTCTTCTAACAATATATGTATTTTCTCACAACACCTATTTTAGAAAAAAGACGCAGTAAATTAACAATAATATCGGCCAACACTATTCCATAATTTCAGCCAGAACTTTGGCCATAATAACTTGGTATCCAAGCTAGCATATAAGTGGACTGAAACTGATGAATAAATGGAACCTCTCAGGTATCCTGCCAGTTTCTTACCAGTTCTTCAACAGTTCCATGACGGTTCTATTTCACCATTATAGCGCTATCATGTTACCAAGCTGGGACCTAAAATTACATACCCAAAAGATCAACCAGAGTTATACCATAGAGTTGGGTAAAATTAATCGCAAATCTACTGCGCTACCCGACACAATTTTTTTTACCACAATTTGATATTTTAAGAGGCAACCAAATAGGCGCAAAAGGTAAGCACATCAATATGTAATCTAGCATTCAGTCAGATGTAGAAGGTCAGTATCTTCAACATGAAACCAGGTATTCAAACAAGGATGGAAAGCCGATACCAACAATATAGAATTTAACATGTAAACGAATCAGGAACAAGAAGAAAGCAGTAACCATTAGATTATGACATCACTATTAATATAAAGCAAGACCATCTACCATTAGATTATGAAATCACCACCACAATATACAGGAAATGATTAAAATAATACAATAAACGCAAAAAAGCTACCCATAAGTAGATTATGAAGTTACCATGAGATTACGAATGGTAGGATATGAAGTTACTACCAGATCATGAATTTAGATTATGAAATCACCATCGTATTATGAAGTTACCAACATACTATGAAGTTATCATTATGCTATGAAGTTACTGGCAGACTATGAAGTTACCATTATGCTATAAAGTTACTGACAGAATATGAAGTTACCTTCATGACCTAACACAAGTCACATGCGACTCAAGATATCAAATCAGAATTTCAATTCAATAATAAAGAGATTTTAGAGGTTTTTCATAAAATATCAAATTAAATTTTAATTCAATAATAAAGAGATTTTTATGAAATATCAAATCAAAATTTCAATTTAATAATAAAGAAATTTATTTTTAAAGGAAAGTTTTTTTATCATCATTTAATTTTTCACTTTTGAACATTCTAATATATTCTCAATCATTTTATTTTTCAAATCATTTTAAATTTTTTAACTTTTTATAAAAAATAGCTACATTAAGAATTATCTGAAAGGATATAGAGACTGATTACTTGGTTAAGAAAAAAAGAAAATACAACTATGAGTATCATTATTATTTTTGTAAAAATAAATTAGGATTTTGGTAGATTATCATGAAAAGAATAAATTGATATTATGACATTATAATTATATATGAAGTCGAAATGAAAATCCAAAAGTCGAAATATTTGACTTTGAAGATCAAAATCGAATGAAAGTCGAAATGGTCAAAATTACATCATATCACATGATTTTTATATATAGAAAAAATAAAAAAAGATATACAATCTCAGTCAATAATGTTCTGATTCATATGAAATAACTACATTCGATTCTCCACAACTAGACGAATCCAATGAGCTAACATTCAATAATTTTGGATTGGCCTATCTCGAGATATTTGTGATTGAGTTTTGAAATCCAAACTTCTTTATTTAAAGTAGAATTTATTGATTCATAATTTCGATAGATAATACAATTGCAGTTATCTCGAGATTGGATAATCTAAAATCAATATATGTTAGCTCATTAGATTTGTCTAGTTACAAGAAATCGAATGGTAATTGTTTCATACGAATCAGAGCAATATTGACTGAGATCATACATCTTTTATTTTTTTTGTTTTTTCTATATATAAAAAATCATGTGATATAACGTTATTTCAACTATTTTGACTTTTTACCTCTAATACAATCAGGTAATATACTAAAAAAGGAAATAGGTTCTAGAATATTCCATATGTGCTGATTTGGCTTACTTTGATTATATCACCTGCAAAAAATGATTAACGATCAATCAATACTAATTTGTTTAATCGCATATTACATTTATCACCAATCAATTTTCAGATTAATAGTTTGTTTAACGATAGGCTAAATGCTGATACACAGCAAAAAATTTTATCAAATGACTACTGCATATACTTTTTCTTGTTTTTTATATTCTAAAATTTATGATACAAGGGGAAAACTCCAGAGTCATGAATGAAGTAAACATAAAAACAATAAACTGATTTCACACTGTCACATACTTCGTCAACCTTCTGATGAAATATTATCATTTTATTGATATACAATAATAATTCGTCTAAAAAGTAGCCTTGGGTTTAACAGACATGCAATTGGAAAGAAACATGTAATAATAGACGTGTTTTCAAAAAGTGTATTTTTGTTTTTATTTGAAAATGAAAACAGTTTTAAGTATATACCAAGTCAACGAAAATATTAATGTACTTTGAGGGTAATACAAGTGCAGAAAAACTTAAAAGTATATTCAAATATAACGAAATTATATTTCGTGAAAATACAAGTACTTCAACCTGAGGATATATATTATTTGAGAATAATGATGATCAATATAAAGCAATATTTAGTTGAAAATAGAAAGAGTGAAAGGAAAACAATAAAATTTTTTTAACTGGAGTTTTATTAATTAATTTTATTACTGATTCTGACGAGTTTGTAAATTAGTAAGTAAATATAATTAAATTTAATATTTTGTAAGTCTTTGTTCAAGCATTAAATTTATTTTATTATTTATAGTTAAGAAAATATTATGCCACCTCTTTATGAACTAATCTCTGATAGTAAACATAATTTGCATACAATATATAATAATTTCTGTAATATGCCTTTTTCTCATCCTAATTTTTCTTAATCAAGTAACAAACTTTTATCAATAAATAGTGAGTCAACAACTATTACTAAATCATGCTATAGATATATTTTACCCTACTCCTCAATTATGTAAAATTTTAAATAAAATGCTTTATTGCTTTTATTATTATATGTTAATATTTTTACATATTATTTCATTGAGAATATTATTAATCAAATAAAAAATTTGCCGATTTTCAAATACTAACATATTATAAACAACAGTAATTTTTTTTTATCTCCTCTCATAGTAGTTCCTTCAAAAAACAATTTAACTTAATAAGTAATAAATAAATTATAAGTTAGTAAGAATATTTATATAAAATTTTAATAAAATCAAATACCTGATTATGATTTTTTTTTCAATACTACTTGTTGAAAATAATCTAAATAAAAGTCACTTTTCTTTCAATTGACGCATACAATAAGAAACATGCATTGTAAATATATGCATATAAGGTATAACATCTTCTTTTCTATAAAGTTCAGGAATTGTTATTGCAGAATTCATTTGACCTATAGTTAAGGTTGCTAGACGAAATCAAGAGTTTAGACAGACGTCTAAATGGTAAAAGTAAAACTTGGTTAAATTAT